GTGCTGTCAGATGACATCGCAACAATAATTTCGCTCGTGGACATTACACCATTGGCAAAGAGATTGTGGACCTGGTTTTGGACCGCATCAGGAAGCTTGCTGACAACTGCTGCCAGCTTGCAAGATCATCGTTTTGTGCGTTTGTTTGTGCGTGTTTCGTGTTCTGCTGATCCGAATCTTTTTCGACGATTCTGTCACCAAGGCACAGGACTCCAAGGATTCTGCGTGTACAACGCATGCGGCGGCGGAACAGGATCAGGCCTTGGCTGCCTGATGCTCGAGAGGCTGTCTGGGCTGTGCCAAAAGGATTAGCTTCCAGTTTTGAAGATTAGGCCCAAAACGAACAGTTATGGAATATCTGGTCGGCCTGCAAGGCTGTCCGTGGATTATGGCAAGAAGAGCAAGATCTCCTTCACCGTGTGGTGCTGCCCTCAGGTGGCAACTGCCGTGGTCGAGCCGTACAACACAGTCTTGTGCGTCCATTCACTCCTGGAGCACACCGATGTGACCATCATGCGCCTCGAATGATTTTTGCAACGACATGTATTTATGTTCGATCTTTTAGGCCCAAGCTACGATGATGCAAGACCCAACCGAGGTACGACAACGAGGCCTTGTATGATATTTGCCGCAGGAAGCTTGCTTTATGTTGGGCCGGTCCTGATAGATTGGTCAGGTTGCATTGCATCCAAGTTTAGGTAGCAGGTGATACGTACGCACACAAACACACACGCTTGGCGCATGCTGCTCGAGGAACCTGGACATCGAACGACCCACGTACACCAACCTGAACCGCCTCATCGCGCAGATCATTTCAAGCTTGACCGCATCGCTGCGCTTCGATGGCGCCCTGAACGTGGATATTACGGAGTTCCAGACCAACCTGGTCCCCTATCCCCGCATCCACTTCATGTTGACGTCCTATGCCCCGGTCATCTCGGCCGAGAAGGCTTACCACGAGCAGCTGTCCGTGGCGGAGATCACCATGTCTGTTTTCGAACCGGCATCCATGATGGTTAAGTGCGACCCACGCCACTTGGCAGAACCTTGCTATTCCTTTGCTGCTTTAGCAGTGCGGGAGTTGGATGGTTTTTGGTACGAAGCACGGGTAGGCATGTACCAATCTGCAACCAAGGCCACGGCAAATACATGGCCTGCTGCATGATGTACCGTGCTGCCCTCAGGACCACGCCAGTCAGCTTTCACGAATGAAGAGAATTGCACCCGACTGTTCCGCAAATGGTAGTAGATGTTAACGTCACGTGTCACGTGTGTATGTTGTGCCGTGGTACGCTGTAATGCAAAAAGATCATAGCCGAGAGCCTGCAGTACAAAACAGTATGTATATATATATATATATGTATATATATATATATATATACATTCTGCCGCAGGGCAATGCTGTGACCAGGCTGGTCAATGTACTACAGTGTAAGCACTACACCTGCATTTGGAGTACCACACTTTATTATTAATACTTGTTTTGAACCTGTTCCCGAAAGGAACCATAATGAAAGACAAGTTTATACTTTTTTCTCGCTGCTTACTTCAGGGTCTAGTGACACATTTTGCGACGCTGTATCGAACGTATCGTCATGTCGGGACCCTGCAGCTCTTGGCTTGCTTGTCTCAGGTGGCGATGTTGTTCCGAAGGATGTGAATGCAGCAGTGGCCACCATCAAAACGAAGCGTACCATCCAGTTTGTGGACTGGTGCCCCACCGGCTTCAAGTGCGGCATCAACTACCAGCCGCCCACCGTGGTGCCGGGTGGAGATTTGGCCAAGGTCATGCGTGCCTGCTGCATGTACCCAGGCGGAAATTGGTTCGGAGTGGCTGCTGTAGATGCAGATGCTTTCCCCGCAATGTCATGTCCATGCAATGTGAAAGGCATGCTGCAGTGATCAATTTAAGCGTTGTGTCTGCTGAGGATCTCGAACAGCACGGCCATCGCTGAAGTCTTTTCACGCATCGATCACAAGTTTGACCTCATGTACTCCAAGCGCGCCTTCGTCCACCACTACGTCGGCGAAGGTATGGAAGAGGGCGAATTCTCTGAGGCTCGCGAAGACTTGGCGGCTTTGGAGAAGGAGACCGGAAGCAACATTTTTTGCCTGTTTTTTTTGACAAAACCAGAGGATCGACCTCTTCAGCCTTCTGGTCGTTTGCCTTAGAATGTTCCTTCTTCCGTTTCGGGTTGCGCAAGCTTGGCAGTGAAAGGACTACGAAGAGGTTGGCATCGAAACAGCAGAGGGCGAGGGAGAGGAAGAAGGTTACGGCGATGAGTTCTGAGAACATCGCTGTTGAAGCCCAAGGAGCAAGTATCTGAGTATTCATGCTACTCGAATGTTCTTATTTATCCCTTCATTCTTCATGAACCTGCCAGTCAGGGTTCAGGCAATTTACTGGCATGTTCCTTGGGAAGTGCACGATGCCTTTTGTCACGTGACGGGTAGAATGGTACCTGTTGCGGGCAATGTTCGGACTGTTCATACAAGACCGTGCGCAAGCATGGGCAAGAAAAGGTCTTTTAGCTGCACTGTGCAAGATGGAAGCGGCTCCTACTTACTTAGGATACTTACTTAGGATAAGGCTTATGATCCAGAGCGTTTGGGATTGTTTCGTCTTGCCTCAGGCACGAGCTTTTCCACTCCACAGCAGGCAGCGACGCTGCCGCAGGCCGGATCTTTCTTGGCGACACAAGCAAGTTGTGAGAGGAAACCCTCAACCCTAAACCCCTAAACCCCTAAACCCTAAACCCCTAAACCCCTAAACCCTAAACCCCTAAACCCTAAAGGTGTTCAGGGTGTCCAGACTGCCACATGGTACTGCTCTCGATAGGTGTCGGGCAACGGGTCTGTTGCCCGGAATGAAATGAACCAAAGCGCAAACAGAAGCAAGCTCTTCAGCAGTAGTAATTAGTCGAAAGGGCTTGCAGTAGCTTTCGTGGCAGTAGCAGGGGCACACAAAAAGCATCACTTGCATCAGCAGTGCGACTGGTACCTGTCTTGTTCGTAAACTTGCTGTCAACCTCACTCCGAAGTGTGGCTCGGGTCGAGGCACCGACTAGGACAACACCAAGTTGCCATCACGTGTGTGGCAGTGTAAAACACGACCGAAGCTTTTGCAGCTTGATTTGTAGTTGGTTCTGCCTCCTGCAAGTGTTGCGCGATGTTCAGGTGAAGGTGTTTACAAGATCCAGCATACTATAGGGGCCTAAATCATTACCTGTACTCTTTGGGGGGTTCCTTATTATCATTATACTGTAATGGGCCCCAAAACCCTACTCTAATCAGTAAGGCCCCTATCCCCTAAACCCTTATAGTAGCCCTCCTAGAACCCTTTAAGGAACCCATGAAAGGAACCCCAAAACCCTACTCTAATTGTTAAGGCCCTCATAAACCCAAAACCCTTATAGAACCCTTTAAGGAACCCTTTAAAGGAACCCCCCCAAAAGCCCCACTCTACTCATTAAAGGCCCCTGCAGTAGCTCAGAATCAGGGAAGATCTTCAAACCCTCTTCAAGCCTGTACCCGAAGCCTCAAACCATGGGCCGTGAACTCAACTTAATATGGGGGCCTAAGGTTTAGGGTTTTAGGGTTTATCTACAGGGTTTTAGGGTTTAGAGTTTTAGGGTTTAGGGTTTTAGGGCCTTAATAATTAGCTATACTATTTTGTGGGGGGTTCCTTGTTAGAGTTGGAGTATAATGTCTCCCAAGACCCACTTCGACCCCCAAACCCTGCACCAGAAACCCCAAAGCCTTCAAACCGCTAAAACCTGCCACATGGGTAGTTATCTAAATTAGGGTCCCTTTTAGGGGGTCCTTTTTACAAGGGTGCCGTACAATCTTGGAGACCTAGACAGGGACCCTAATTTAAAGAACTGTCCAGGTCCCCAAACCCCCCATAGCCTCTAAACTGCAGCATACTCGGAAGATCCTAAACCCTAAACCTAAACCCTAAACCCTAAACCCTAAACCCCTAAACCCTAAACCCTAAACCTCCAGCCACAGGTCCCGCTGGGGAGGCTCGGGGTCGGTTTAGCTACCGGGCGTTTCTTAGAGTTAGGTGAGGTGTTGGGTTTTAGGGATTTTCGGGGTTGTAGAGTTCTATAGGTTATAGGTATAGATGATAGGGGTTTGGGGATACAGAGATTTAAGGTTATAGCTACAGACTTATAGGCTATGGGGGGGGGGGGTAGGGTCTATCGGGCTTTAGGGCCGTTTCGGGTTTCGGGTTGGAGGAGTAGGCCACAACACGGGAGCTTCGGAAATTAGGAACTCAAACAACTTCCCGGGGCTTGATTGGCAAGGCTTCAGCCCGAAACCCCTTCATATGCCCTACTGTAGCTAAGCCCTTTGTAAACCCTAAGCTTGTTATAAGCCTTCAAGCCCTAAACCCTAACATCACCTCTTTTCGCCGTGTATTTCAGTACGGGCCTTTAGCGTCAACCCAAGAGCACTGGGATGAGCAGGTTACGACCGGAGCCCTCCGAGTTTCATGGGCTGTAGATTTTATATCTTATATATACACATGTGTATATATATATATGTATATTTGTTTATTTATTTATATAGATTATATATCTATTTATATGTGTATATATATATATAGTTATATTACTATGGGGGTTATATGGTTATATAGCTAGATTACGGGGGAGGGTTTATGGTCTATGTTTCCTGCAACCTAATCCTTCGAACCTAATCTCCCGCACCTCACACCCCAGACCCTTCAACATTAAACCTCAAAGCCTGAGACCCGAAGCCCGCAAACTGTCACCCTAAACCCTCGCTAAATCCCTAAATTCAGAAGCCGCTATACCCCGAAACCCCGAAACCTAAACCCCGAACCCGAAACCGGAAACCCTGAACCCGAAGCCATGAACCCCAAACCCTGAACCCGAAACCCCAGCTACTCGCAGGCGCCTCCTGGAATGTCAGCAGGAAGCAAGGCCCACGACCTGCAAGAGCCTTCGGTATAGGCTTAGGCTCATGATCGTGCCTTCTGAGGGTTCCCAGAGAGCCCGATACCCCTTAAATAATGAGGAATATACCTTAAATTATAGGGGCCTTGCCTTATTTAAGGGGTATTGGCCTCTCTGGCTTCTTTTCGGGGGATTTACAAGGGCTCTAGAAAGATTTGCGTTAGGCTTCAGGGCTCCTTGGTGTTTGGGGTTTGCCTCTTGGGGAGCACGTTTTAACTCAGGCGTGGAGCACCTCGTTATGTTACAAAGTCATGTCTATGATGCCATCATCAAGCACTGATTGCTCGATGCTGTCTGATTCGAAACAGCACATCTACTTACCTACCGACCTACCTACCTATCTATCTATCTATCTATCTATCTGTCTGACAGTATCTATCTATCTGCCTATCTATCCCTCTATCCCTTCGTCTATCTGCCTATCTTTTTACTAGTATCTATCTATTTATCTATCTATCCATCTATTTATCTGTCTATCTGTTTGTCTATCTATCTACCTATCTATCTATATGTCCATCTATCTATCTATCCATCTGTCTATTTATCTACCTATCTAAATAGTATCTATCTATCTATCCATCTATCCATCTGTGTATCTGCCTATCTTTCTACTAGTATCTATCTAGCCATCTATCCATCTTCTATCTGTCTATCTATTTGTCTATCTATCTATCTATCTATCCATCTATCTATGTGCCTATCTACCTATCGACCTATCTATCTATCTACCAACCTGCAAGTGACCCATCACAACAATCCTGAAACCGCAAGCCAGGCCCTTCACCCAAAACGCAACGCTGCAGGACAGCTCCATCAAAGCTGCCGCGCCCCTTCTGCTCACGAAGCAGACGGCCAGGCGGCTCATTTGCCAGGCTCGGGGTCTCTCTTTGATATAAGCTTAGGGGTGAATAGAAATAAGTTTTAATCATTGGCCATTATAAACCCTAAGAAGCAGCTAAAATTGTAATTTTTGCGAGGGGTCTAAGTTCAGTATAGTAAGGCCTTGGTAAAAAGTAGGGTGGGGAAGGGTTATACTGTCGTAGCGGGGCTTTAGCGTCTCAGGGCGCGGGCTTTCCGGTTTCATCGTTTGAGGTTTACGTGCTAGTTAAAGGTTCGGGCTACACAGCATTTGGCGCCACTCAGATCTCTGATTAATGAAACTGTCCTTTTTCAAGAGCTCCAAGAGTCGGATCCCTGTGCTGCATCTGTCGTTTTTTTTTCTCCCAGGGGTCGACTAGACAGCTTGCGTTGTTTCGAGCGTGTGGTCTGTCACAGAAAGCCCGGAATCCAAACCCTCGTTTGGGCTCCTAGAAATTGGCCGGAAAACCTTGATCCCCTCGTGTCAGGGTTTTTAGGTGCAAAGGTTAGAGTTACGCTTTGAACCAAGGGTTTAATGTGTAGTCTCGAAAACATGGCCCTGCATTTCAGGTATCAAGGATTGCTGTAACGTATTTGTTGTGGCTATGTCTGCGAGAAGGCCTGGTTACCTTGCCTAGAAGCCCAATATAGAAGCCTAAATGATTCGTAGTACTGTTCCGCAGGGTTCGTGATTATAGTTTATTGTGCCCTCCCCCAAAATCCTACTCTAACGATTCACGCCCAGATGATTTACTGTAAGCCCCAGCAAGTTTATGACAAGCTAATCCTGAAAAGTGCGAAGCCCACCATGCTGCAACCAGTACGTCCCTACATGTGCCTCGGCATGCATTTGGTGTGTGGAGCTGTAAGTCCTCAAGCAGCTTAAACCCCAAAACTTAAGCCCTGAAGCCCTAAGCCCCAAACCAGAAGCCCTTAAGCCCTAAACTCAAAATCCTAAAACCCCAACCCACAGCCCTCAGCCCGTCAGCCCTCAACTCCAAGCAGCGTTTGCAGGCTGAGCGGGAGGAGGCAGAAGCGCAAGCCGCTGCCCAGCTTCCGACAGTGGAGGCTCATGCATCGGTTTAGGGTTTAGGGTTTGGGGTACCTTATTTTGGGGTCCTTGTAAAAAGGATCCTACTATTTAGGGCTATATTAGGGTTTAGGGTTTGGGGATTTTTGTTGATGGCTTTGTTTGGGGTTCAGGGTTGAGGATGCTTTTCTGGGTTCTGACAGGGTCGTCATTGCTTTCTGTCTGCGTTTCTTATAGGTTGTGCTTAAAACGGAGGTCCCTCTTTGTTTGAGCCCTGCGGATTCGGAGGTCCTTCCTATATAATGTCTAGAGTCTGCATTTAGATCGCTAAGTGCTCCCACGTCGGCAGTAATTATGGATTTCGGTTCATGCCGGACGCGTGCCCTCTGCCGGCACCTACCTTGTAGTCCTGATTGTGCCCCCAGAATTTTTTCGGCACTTACTACTGCCTTTCACCCATGTACCTTATTACTGAGCAATTCCATTATTTGGGTTGGAGCTTGCGCATTTCTACTCCGTCCGCTGGCTGGGGACTAAAACGCCAAGCCGAACGGTATCTGGCTGCAAGATCCTACACCTAATTTGAGCTACGAACAGATAACCTGATAATATGTTATCATACGGGACAATATCAACAGATTATATCATCGTACATAGATGTACATAGTATAGTATAGTGCAACATACTATAGTATGTAACTTAGTGTAGCGTAGAATATGATCCAATATGCTATGAGATTGTATGATGTGATATGACATAACACAACCTAACATAAGAAATATGAGATAGTGTACGGAAAAAAGGCAACAACATAACATAATACAACATTACACCGGACTAGTTATAATATGATATGACATGGCCTGGCACAATATAATGCCTTCCCATGGAATGTAATTTTCCTGCAATCGTCTAGCACAATACGGCATGATATGATATGGTATGATATAGTCCGAAAAATTGCAGCCCAAAGTGCAGGCTGTTCGATTGGAGCCACGGCGGAAGGCCACGGGCAAGTGATGGAGAGGATTCTGTAGGAGCAGACCACCAGGCATGCGGGAAGTTTACATCCAGCTCTCTTTCCCGAAGGATTTGGCTGATGCCCTATCCTGTTGCTTTTTCATGCTAAACTCTAAGGCTTAAGAGATATTCGTCGTTAGGGTTCTTCATGATACGTATACTATAACATGACCCCCCCCCCTCAACACACTTTTCGAAGTAAGAAGGCCCCTATGCTAGACCCTTATAGTCTTATAGTCTAGCAAACCTTCTTGTAACCCAGAAGGACTATTTGGGATCTAGGGGCCTTGAGGATTCAAGGGGTGGCTTTGTTTACAGGGTTTCACGGGTCGTTGAGGGATTCAAAAAGGTTCCATATGGTGGCGCTGCTGATATCTTTCAGGGCTCTCTGTTACTATTATGGTAAAGTGTTGAATTTCTTACCTTCCTACGAACTACTCCTGCGAGGTTGCATTATGTACCCCTGATGCTACTTTTGTAATTCCTTTCATGCTATATTTTTGTGCTGAGAGTGTAATATACCCTCCGAAACTCTCATGGCCTAATGGATTATAAACCCAATAGAACCCTACAGCCCCTGATAACAGGCTCTTAAATCTATGAAAGACAGCTTGTAAACCCCTGCAGGCACGTGTCAAGGAAGCGCTGAACCAATCGATGTCCGACCTCTCGGAGTCCTGCCAAGACTTAATTAAAGTGTGGGGTGCTTCAGTCTCGGGGATTAGGGTTGAGGGGTTCAGGGTTAATAGGGGTTTAGGATCTTGGGCTTTTAGGGTGATTAGGGTTGATAGTTTGGGTTTTTTCGGGCTCGGGGATCAGGGCGACTAGCTTTGTTGCCTCGGGCAGTGCGACCGCGCACAGCCACTGCTGTTGCTGCTGTTACTGCCGCTGTTGCTGCATCTTCTTTGTTGCGGCCTCATGGTACTTACTGCTTGGCCAGGCAATCCAGACGTCCAGTACTTCCTTTCAAATGTCGGAGCAGTCCCGGAAGCGCTGAACCCGAAAAGAGTGCCGTGACCCCTGAAAAACAAGCACGCTCTCTGAGGACAAAGAGTCGGATGACAGCTCGCCGCCCAGATCCTGCCATAGTTGTAGGTTTCAGGGTGGATGAGAAACTGCAAGCCGCATAGAAGCTGCGTCAGTGCAAGAATACATGCTGCATCTTTCGGTGTGCCCCGAACAGCTTGAGTCCTTGGCTCGGACATCAGACATGAAATCCGAAGCAGACTCGCTTGGTGCTAGCAGACTGCATACCAAATCGCGCCAGGTGCACGGTCGGATCTGGCAGATACTGGCCAGATGCAAAGATTCCTTCTCAACTGCATCAAGCAGTGCTTCTGTGGGAGCTGGATCCTGTTCCCAAGGACCTCTCCAAGTAGACATGTCGGATTGCATGGAAAGCCGCAGCGTTTTCTGAAGTTGTTGCCTGCGTAGTCCCCATCATCTCAAGCTTCTGGAGGGCAGCCATCGCTCAGACACACATCGGATGGCATGGTCACATGCACATGTACACGCACACATATACAGACACAGACACACCTTCATGCCTTATGACTGGTGCAGGGATGAACAGCAGTACGAACCGGCAGGTGAGCCTGTCTAACGACTCCCTCACGCCGTTGTGTCAGTGTGTCAGCAAGCTGCCCCGCGATTCCTACAGCATCCAACCACTGCTACTCCTCAGACAAGCCTCAGAAGCTTTCTGAGGGCAGGGCAAATGTCTCGTCTCGCTGAATCCACTCTCGATCAAGGAGGCCGTTCGGGCAGAGTTCGAGTTGCTCTCGGCCGAAGTCGATGATGCCCAGACTGCCCAAGAACAGATAGCCGAGAAGGTGCTGGAGAAGGTGCTGAAGAAGCTGCAGCAGACAGCTGATCCGCGCGATGTGGTTCGCAAAGGTTGAGTCACAGGAGGCTACTGGCTTCGTCCGACTATGCTGGAAGCTCTCAGCTTCGATGGCCTGATGAGGCTCCCGTCAGGCTCTTCGTCGTGCAGTCGTGGAGAAGGAAGAGAAGGACGGCGCATGGCATCGTGTGATTACTCTGCTGATATGACTACACCACCTGCAGAACACGGTTATCAGCTCTGCATCGGCAACGTGAGGCTACACTTGGAGGTCAAAGGCGGGAAAAGATCATGAACCGGAGGAGTTTGCCATGATGTGCTGTGCATGGCAATGGTCGGGAAGAACACTCTGCGGCCGGCGGCATCGGCTGCAGAATCCGCACGGGACCCAAGCCAGACGGGAGAGCTTGAACCGCAGGGTGGAGGAGTACTTAGATCGTCAGGATCCGCAGCGCTTGAAGATCGAAAGATGAGATGTTGAATGCAATTATGAGAGCCCACCGGCTGAACAGCGATGTCTTGTCAGTCTGATGTTTCTTCCAAGAGACTTGTTCATCTCCTGACTCATCGTTTGGTTGCACTTCTTCAAACAGGTATATGCTCACCAGCACGTTCAAGAAGAAGTGCAACCAAACTGGTTGCATTTATCTTGTCGGTGGGCACATACCTGTTTGAAGAATTGCAAGCAAACGAGGAGCCAGGAGATGACCAAGTCTTGGAAGAAAAATCAGAACAACAAGATGTCCTGCCTGACTGCGACCCCACCGGAGGAGTTCATGATCGAGCTGGACAGACTTCGGCACAACAGGGTGAGGCAGGCGGCCGACTGGAACAGATCAGAAGCACCAAATTGTTGGCGTCTTGGATTTGGTCGGGGTAGGGAGCGCGAGTTGCTCCCCGGAGCGTTGTTTGTCCTCCTTTTGAATTTCGTTCCGGAGACCTTGAAGACAGTCTACCTGGGCTCGGCCATGTTGAAAGACCTTCTCGAATGGATGGAATTGGAGAACAAGGGCGAACAGTGCAAGAAAGCTAAGCAGGTGCTCAACGAGTACATGTGCCATTTTGTGCATGTGATCAAGGCCGACACGTGGGGCAAAGTGGTAGGTCCTGTCCCCGCAAAGTGGTCACCTGGCCCTTGAAAAAGAGGAGCCTCTCGGATCTCACTCTTGGCCGGCGCAAGGGTTCGAATGGAGGCAGCAACGACTGCTATGACCTTAAAGTTGCCACTCCGGAGGATGACACCGTGTAGGCGATGCCATTGAAGCCGCAGGAGGCGGCTTCATCTACCAACACACAGCACTCTGGCACTTTAAGGTTTAAGTTTTTCTACAACGGCACAACTAGTGTAACTGGTTTCTGTTCGCCCTTCCAGCTTCCGAGGTGGGGCGGGGAGGCTCGCCGACCAGGGTTCCTTGCGTGCGTTTTCTGGTTAGAAGATGGTTTTCACAGCCACTTTGTCGCCAGTCCATGTTTGTAGAGGTTTGATGTTACAAGGCCGACCTTGTGCACATAAGCCTTGTCTTTGCAAGTCGTCGGGATCGCGGTGTGCTCTTTCAGATTCTTGCCCCTCGCGCGGGATCCATGAAAACTTGAAACCTTCCTGCTGAAGTTTAGCCCCTCCTATTGATAGCATCCCACAAGTTGGAGACCCAATAGCTTCAATCCTTAAGAGTGATGTATGAGGAATCCCAGCACTATTTGCCCTTGATCCGGTTTCCAACTTCTGGGCGTTTACTATAGCTGAAGTAAACTGGCTGAAGAGGAATCAGTGAGGTGTTACGTGTAAGTCGTCAACCAGAGCTGGCTGTTTGCTAAAGCCTGATGTGTAAATCCACGATCCCAACCTCCAGCTCTTCCTTCCCAGCCACCTTCCGGTGTGTAGAGTACTCCTTGCTCGGGAAACCCGTTTAACCCTAAACCCTAAATCCTGACACAAGGATATTTGAGGAATCCTGGCAGCTAGACGCCCGGCCGGAGGTCGCAAACTCCCCCGAGCCCCAAGCCCTGCAAAACCCCAAAGACCCTAAGTAGAAACCACACAAAAGCCCTGCACGAAGGCCCCTGTAAAAGGCCCTTCAACCACCTTCAACGCAGAGCCGCGAACCAGAAACTCACAGCAGGGCACGCCGGCGATGGAGTGATCAGAGGTTGTTGGGGCCTCGACGGTCAGTTGGAGGTGTCACGGTTTCGTTGTCTGCAGTGCCTTGGGGGTGTGAGTTCAATGAGTTAGACCTTGGTTCGCTTTGCAACATTTTGCAACCAGAACGGTACGGGCAATGGTTTGCATGCTGTGGCTCAAGGCCGCAATCGGTTTATCCGTGCGGGCCGGCGAGACACGACATGTTCCTTTGCGCACAACGTTTTCATGGCAAGGTCGTCTGAGTTCTCCTCGATCCTGCCACATGAAGCGACATTGCCAAGCAAGTCGCTTGAGACCGACCGCGTCGTGCGCCCCCAGATTGTCATCACACCACCCAGACGAGGCGTCGAGGTGACCGAGCCTTGTGAGAAGCCTCCCCAGACGCCTCCAGTCGACGACCGCGATCGCAGTCCAGCAGCAGCGAGCCTTCAACTTCCAGGCGCGTAGTTGTCAAAGTTATGGCTCCGTTTTTGGGAACCCGCTACAATATCATAATGATGCAGTTAGTACAGCACCCTAAGACGGGACCCTGATTTTGGCAAGCACCCAGGTTCTTTTCCGAAACCGGAACTGTCCGATCCGGAGGATGAGCCAGCCGGCCCTCATGGCTCCTCGGTGTCTCAGGACCAGGCTTCTGAGCAAGAGCATCTTCAACGGAGGCCTTCCTACAGCTCCCAAAGGTCTCGCAGGGACTCCGATCTCTCTTCGAAAGGAGACTCGGATGTGACGGAGCGACGCAGCCAATATAGTCAGGGCAGCAAGCGCCGGGGTTCCTTTACCGTTGAAAGGGCAAGCAAGGACACCACCAAGTCTCCTTGGGACAGAGTTGCATTTGTGGATGGAGTTCAGCCTGTGATGCAGGTCTACTTGGAAGATCATTGCGAGGACGGACCAAGCACGGCTGGTCGTGTTATCAGCATGCTGATCGTACTGTTCGGCCTCCTCCTCGTGGTGTCTACACTGTCATTTTGGTCCTTGATGATACCTTTTGCACTACCAACAGCAGGTTTCTGGGAGAATTGGCGATTCAACTTCGTCGCGGTGCCCTCTATGATGTATGTTGTCAGTCGCGCGGGTGTTCTTTTGCTCTTCCGCAGCATTTCGCCATGCGAGCGGTCCAGGATGAGCTTCAAGAGCCTCTGGCTACCTGCGATTGGCGCAGTAGCCTGCGTCACTATCATAACCTTCGCCGGGGTTCAGGGCCTTTTTCCCCTGCCTTACCTCATTGTCACTGCTGCGATCCCTGCACAGATAGTTGCCCTCATTGCTGCACGTCTGTCCATACCATCAGATCTCATGACTGCAGAGATTCGCAGGTGGTGGATGTACGTGACCTTCGGCTTCATAGCTTATCCTTCGCAAAGCATGTTGTTCATGCTTTGGCTGGCCGTATTCCCAGAACTCACGGAGGTGTTGCAGGTGCTGAGCAGCTTCGCGATGAACGGTTTGCTCGCAGTATCGGCAATCATCATGGAGAGGATTGGGCTGTGGCTGGACCTACCGGTCTACCTCTTGTACGAGATCAAAGTCATGATTCTGTTCGTGTCATTTCTCTACACAGCTGCGATGCTAGCCAGCGCCAAGTCCTTCACTGTGCTCGCACTGATGCTTGCCCAGGATGCAGCCAAGGCAGTGGCAATCTTTCTGAGAATGTGCTTTCATTTGCTAGCCATCCTTGAGATCGAGCACGCATGCCAGAACGATTCGCATGCATGCGATTCTTGCTACTGCTCAACTTTCGGATCGTTACTAGTTTCTCCAAAAGAGCTGCTGGCTCTCGGTCGACGGAAGTGGTCCTTGATGTCCGACGTCCAGGATAGACTCCGCGACATCTTCGCCATTTTTGAGCTCCACAGCCAACGCAGCCTCCAAGAGGCCGATCTCGCGCTGGCCGATGTCCGCCTTCTGGGCGGGTTTACCAGATGTATTGTCCATTTCGGTTTGGTGGAACTTTGTGAAGTGGTCGTACCGCTCCTGTACATGATCTTGGCGACACTGCTGCACACACTGGCAGATAATCGGGAGTATGTCTATCTATTCAATGACATGGAGCTGTGGCCAGCTTTAGCGGGAAATGGCTTTGGCCTCCTGATTGAGGTATTGGTCTTACTGCTCCTCCAAACTGCACTTTCTCGACTGATCGGCTTCAATTTGCTAAATTTTGTGGCCCATGTCTTGAAAATGGAACCTCTGCGAACCACTGTAGCATTTTGTTATTTCTTCGTTGCGTGTTCCTCCCGCTCCCCACCCAGTCCCGAACTGACATGTCTGATTTCGGCAGTTGCCAGGACTTCAGCTACTGGAGCGCAATTCTTGCCACATGCTTGGAAGGCTGGATCATTGTGCTGCTCTCTCATGGAGGACATGATCTTGAAGCGATCCGCGAATGGCTTTCCGTCTAACGACCTGCGACACCATGCCGAAGGCAGACGCTGTTGCCGAGAGCCTTAACCTTTTTATGTCCCGTCTGCTTGCGAAGGGACGCCAGATGTGGCATCATTAGCGACCTCATCCTCAATAGCAGGAGAAGATCGATGCATTTAGAGCCTCGCAACTTCGCATATTCATCGCCTGGGGAGGCAAACCATTGGTGCCACTTTTTGGAACATAATAAGATTGCTGAGCCCATTGTGCTAATCTTCTTGTAATAAGATGGCTTACGCATATATTCCTCAGAATTGGATCAAATTGAATCCTGAATAGAATAGTTTCGTGGATTGAAAATGAAACACTTTTTCTTTCAGATTGATTTATCATACTCGCGATTTATGTCGTTCATATTAATCTGTATTGCGATATTGAACTACATGATCTTACATTCCACGTTGTCTGCGGAAGTGAGCCATTGCGAGGCGAAGCAGCCCGAGCTGAAAACGAAGGCAGCTGTCCCCAGGTCAGGCCATGTAACCTCGCTACGAGACAGCTCAGTTGAAGCCCTTTCGCAACATGAAATCCCGAACCCTAAACCCTAAACCCAAAACCCTAAACCGTGCCCAAATCCTTGCCTGCCCTCGACTGGTACTCTTTGCCTGTGGGGTCAGGCGACTTTGTTTGCGATTCTATGCGGTTGGGGGTTTAGGGCCCTAAACCCTAAACCCTAAACCCAAAACCTAAACCCCAAACCTACCCATGTTCCTGCAGCCAAGTACCCAAGGATCCGCCTATCCAAGCTGCCAACCTGCAGTTGCCTACAGTACCCGAAGCCCAGGTTCATATTTGTTTTTTCACCCTGTGAGGAATGGAAAGCCCTGAGCCCGAATATGGGGGCCTAAATAATTACCTATATATATATATATATACATATATATATATATAGATAGATAGATAGAGTGGGGTTTTTTACTATAAAGGAGCCCAAAACCCTCGTCTAAGTATTAAGAGCCCTACATCAAGTCTGGCAAGTCATTCTCAGGAATTCCATGCTGCAGCGCCTGGCTCTCAACAAGTACAGCTCAGGGGTCCCAAGGTTTCGGCTGCCCCCGAAAATAGGGGACCCTAATATAGTACCCCAAATAGTAGGATCCTTATTATAAGGACCCCAAAATAAGGTACCCCAGTTTTCGGAAACCGCCAAAGGAATTGCGAAACGGCTTAGCGCTGACCATCTTCTACAGCGGGACATTTGCTCCAAACGGGTTCTGCTGTAGCTTTAGATCAATGTCAGTGAAGATGTGACCTTTTGCGATGTGTAGCAAACTGCAAGCACGACACACCCTTCTGAACCCAACCTACCAAACCCCAAACCCAACCAGCATGTTCAGATCTACGTCACTGAGTTGAACCCCTTATTCTGTACAGTCCAGCTCGGTTTGACAGCTGAGAGGTGACTATTCGCCGATCTCAAACACGCCGCGAGTGTGATGCTGCCAAGCTTGCTGCTCTATGGAGAAAGCAGGATCCTGAAAATCTGATCTAAATGCCAAAATCCTAATATAGTACCCCAAACAGTAGGATCCTTGTTATAAGGACCCCCCCAGTTTTCGGAAACCACCATCTCTGAGACAAAAATTGAAATCTAAACCCAAAACCGCCAGGTCCGCCTCCCGGACGCCGCAGCACTCGGAGACCGGCGCCCCGCGCAGCCGAGGAGGCTTCCTGCAGCTTTAGGGGGTTTATGCCTATGTGGGGTTGTATGTGGGAGTTTCCGAAATATAAGGGTACCTTACTTTGAGGTCCGAATGTAGAGAACTACCCATATTAACTATGTGGGTGGTTGTCAAAATTATGGTCCATTTTGGGGTCCTGATTATAATACGGCGCCGATTATTTAGGGTACCCCAAAAGGGACCATAATTTTGACAACTACCCATGTATATTCTTAGGGGTACTTAGAAATATTTTTTAATCTTTGGCTACTATAAACCCTAAGAAGCAGCTAAAATTATAATTTTTGCTAGGGGTCGAAGTTCAGTATAGTATTGGGTTTCTGAGAGGGCTCTTTAGACTTTTTTGTTGATCTGGGGGATATAACGGCTCTGGTACTCCTGGTCGACTTGGACGTTTTTCTTGGGGCTTGGAGTTCTACAGGCGTCTTTGAGTTTAACGTGTTCTTCCAAGGGACCTTAAGGGACCTGAGTTTTGTTTATGATGAAGGATTGTGCGGATCGAGGCTGACAGCTATCAAGGCACCAGTCCGGTGGCGCAGAGGGCTCACGGGATTCAAGCTCTTGGGTCGCCGCTGAAAACTGTCGGTTCTGGCTTCCTGGTGTGGAGAGCTGTATATGTCTCTATGTCTGTATGCATTGCGAGGTTCGAGCATTTTCAGCGAACATTCGAGGCGTTCGGGTCCTGAGTGGATTCGGCCTCCCCACTGTCGAGATCTGTCGAGCACCCATCGTCACCCATTGACCAAACTGCGAAGTTTGGGAGCCCTCCCGGGTCTGAATCCTCAACTCCCATGCACCCCAAGCCGTAATTTCACATGGGTTATTCTTTTAAAGAAATGACAGCGGCGGCAGTCCACTCCTGTTCAGGCCTCTTTGGCGTGCTCGAGGCGGATGAGCATGCGGATGAAGAGGCACTTGCTGCAGCTTGTTCGATGTTGAGGGTTGCAGTGTGGTTCGGAGCTTTCCGTGTATCGGTTTTGGACTGTACACTCCCCGTTAGAAGATTCAATAATGACCCCTGCGTCTTAACTTGAAACTCGCCTTTAACTCTACTCATACTTTCTTTAATTTTATTCCTTCCTGCACCCCTTAAACTCTACACCTTCTTTTTGGAACCAGTTAAACCCTAGAGCCCGCGATCCGAAGCCCTTCAACGCTGAACCCTGAACCCGAAACTTGCGCGACCTGAAACCCTAAACCCCGAAACCCTGCACTACCCCAGAGAGCCCAATACCCCTTGAATAAGGAATACACCTTAAATTATAGGGGCCTTAATATTATGATTGTAAGGTATGTTCCTTACTTAAGGGGTATTGGGCGCTCAGGGACTGCAGCCGTGAAGCTTAGGCCAAACAAACCTCACGTGCGCATAGAACCCTTATAGTGGACTGTAATACAAACAACCCTACGGATAAACCCCACGAAACACTTGAAAACACAAAGCTCAAACACATTCTACGAACCCTTGAAACAACCCCTCAGGGAACCCTGCAAGCAGAAAACCCTCAGCTCCAAACACAAATCTTGAAAGCGCGAAACCCTAACCTCAAACCCTAAACATCCTTAAACCCTAAACCCCAAATGCCCCTCAACTCGAAAGCCCTTAAAACCCTGTCAGTTCTGCCCTGATGTCATCGACTGGCACCCGAGCGTTGTTGCCTCAGCTCGTGAGCTTCTCTTCTAGATGCAAAGAAGGAGAGGCCATGATGGGATGTAGGGCTCAAGGGTTAGGATCTGGGGCTTTAGGGTTCAGGGTTTTGGGGGTTCAGGGTTTAGGGGAGGGGGCTATTTCAATTAGGGGGTTCTATCAAGGTTCCAAAGCTTTTCTGCAGAAAATTTAGCGGTGTATAGGGGTTCTATCAAGGTGCCGTTAAGGAATCCTAGAAGGGCACTATCAGGGTGTTCTATATAATGCTGCGGTCAGGGCGTGCAGGAGTGGATGGATGACGCAAGTTGCTGCAGTTACCCTTGAGGTGAAGAGCCTGCTTGACTCGGTGTCGAGACGCGGCGCACGCGTCCGAAACACGCCAGGGGCTTGGCTTTTTTAGAACAGCTCTGTTCAAATCAACATAGCATAACTACTGTTAACGCCATGCTGCTCAATCTTACCCTAAACTGCAGTATAGAACCCTGAACTCTTGTTGTTCCTGCAACGGCCCTTGCTTTCGAGCTTCGTGCAGTTGATGTCGCAGTCACTTCAGGAACCCCAGAGCCGAAAAGCGCCTACACCCAAAAATGTCTCATTCTCAACCCCTACCTGGCCGAAAAGTATGTAAAATCATCGTCCTGTGTAGGTTTTGGGCCATTATTTTACATACTTATGGGGTTTTAGGTAACCCTAAACTCCTTTAAACCCTTCAATCCTTCAGCGCCTGAGCATTTAGCTGAGTGGGTAGCGGGCTTCCGTTCCCGTTCCGCGGCAGATTGGCTTCGACTCTTCTTTTCACGTGCCTCAGGGTGCTATACAGGGTCCTTAAGGTATTAGTCAACGGGTATATGGTTAGAAGGATATTCTTGTAATGACATTCCTATGAGGATGTTAAAGGGTAGTGTAGGTTGTTCTGGAAGGTCTAGGGTTTGTTGATAGGGTATCTTCAACACAGTTTACACCGCCAAGAACTCCGAGGTCACTGCCAGTGTGGGTTCAAAGGAGTTCGGGTCAGGTTGATGTGTACGGATTTGTAACCCCGAAACCCTAAACCCTATACCCAAACGGGGGCCGGGTCCCTCCCTGAGCTGTAGTTTGTGCTTTGGGTCTGGGGTTTTCCGGGTCGAGGGCTTTGGTGAGTAAGGTGTTTCACACACCGCTGTCAGTTTTGGGTTGTGGGCTGTGGGTTGTTGAACTCGAGGGTTTCAAGGACAACACGAAGAACAAAACGCAACCTCTGAAACTGCGAAGGAACATCCCGTAGAAACCCTGCAACCCTGAAGCCCAAGCTCCAGAAGTTATAGAACCCTGCTAAAGCCATTCGGTTCAAATTCATACAGGTCGAAGACTCCGAAACGCAAATCCCTGAAGCCTAGAATCCCATCGTGAATCCCTATAAGCTCTAAACCCCCCGAAACCCTGCACCCCCATAGACAGTGTGTGACACTCGGGCTTGGAAGGCTGCTGCCAGTAGTGTAGGATAAGAGCCTAAGATATATACTTGTGCACCCAGGGCACGGCCGAACCGCAACGACACGCTGAGGAGGCCCCCAAATCGCTCTTGGCTACGGTTTAGGGGTAGGGTTTGCACCCCAGTGGTGGTTCAGGGTTTTGGAAGAGTTGCATGTTTTAGGCTTGAGGTTGTTGG